TTTGCGTTTTCTGTTTTTTTTCACTTTTTTACTTGTGAATAATTGGTATAAAAAATTAAAATATCAAAAATCGAGTCTTATACGTCACCCGATATAACTGCCCTCTACAACTTTTAATTAAGGTATTTTGCTCTAAAACAATTCTGTAAGCCGTATTATTCCAACAAAATTGGCATGTTTTTGTACGTTGTTTTCGGTGGTGTGGCGTCCTCTTAATTATAAAATTAATTATATAACTATACCAAATTGTTTGATCTATATAATATTATGCGATTATGCTGTATTCACCTTAACTGTCCATAAGAAACAATAAATTATATAATATATATAATATGTATTTTAGGATGTAGGTACTCAATGATATTTTTGTTCAGGGTAGGCATTCACATTTTAGCAAAATAACCATGTCTATACGTTGTACGATGTTAGTGATATTAATAACTATTATTTATACAACTTACGAAAATACGCTGTACAAAAATAAATATAAATAACACGAAAGAAACAAATACTCGTATAATGTATAAATGTATATTAGTTTGATTCTAAAAATGGAAACATCAATATTTTAATATTTTAATAATAATTTTATTTAAACTCGTTCTTGCCATGCCACTTTTCCACTTGTCACAAAATATTCAGAGAACTGGTCTCTAACCATTTTTGCGTCGAGGCCGGATCTTCTTGGCACTCTTTGTAATGGGAACATGGAACCTAAATCATTTTGTTCAGATCTCCAAGAGCCTGGAACTATCATTCCATCATTATTGTCGGTATCGAAAACACCTGGTGGTGCGTATAATGAACTTGAAGATTTGCTTCTTCTTAAGAAATTATGTAACAATACACAAGTCATTGTAATTTCTTGTACTTTTTCCGGCTCTAGAAGTATTGGTCCTCTAAATATGCGAAAAACTGATGCCATAATTCCAAATACATTTTCAACTACTCGGCGTGCTCGAGAAAGCCGGTAGTTGAAAATTCTTTTGGCGTTTCCTTTTTCGTGTACTCCCGAGTATGGTTTCATAATATTTGTGCTTAGAGCAAAAGCTTCATCCGTCAGAAACACATACGGTAGCGACAAATTCGTATTAGGGAGTAATTCATCCGTATCCAATTTTTTAAAAAACGATGTATTTCGTAATACGCCACCATCGCTGATTCGTCCTTGGCAGCCGATATCCACAAAAATAAAATCATAATTAGCGTTCACTACAGCCATGAGCACAATGCTAAAAGTCCCTTTATAATTGTAGTATTCCGTTCCACTATTGACAGGGCTTTGGATAACTACATGTTTACCGTCAATAGCCCCGAGACAGTTGGGGAAATTCCATTTTTCATTAAAGTGTAATGCTATATTTTTCCAATCACTAGAATTTTTTGGCAACTAAAACAAAACCAAAAATTATAAATTTTTCACTACGTTGTGTTTTGTATTTTAAATATTATTATTTTATGTATATTTTTTAAAAATATATACATATGAGATTTTTTAAATAGCTACAGGTTAAAAATTATTTTAATTATTTTAATTATATTTTATAAATTATTAACTAAAAAATGATTATTAAATTTTAAATTTGATAAATTTTGTAAAAATTCGAACTGTAAATGCTTATAAAAAAAAATTGTGCTTATGTATTTTTAATATTTCTCCACTACTATTGTAACAATGGATAGGAGCCTTGTATTAAATTTTCAAGCTTTTTTTACCCAACGAATAACATTTTATTAACATTTTATTGACATTTATGATTTATAGGAAAAAAAACTAATAATATTGGCTTAATATAATCACTTGACTTAGATAATTAATGTTTTTTACAATCAAAAGATTTCTAAAAATTAAATTTACGAAAATTCCAAATCAAAATCACGGAAATTATTTTTCAGTTAATTAAATTTTGTTAAATGAATAATTGTATAGGAAATTATACATATTAAAACTACCTAAGAATAACTATTTTAATTATTTTGTTGTAATTTAAAAATATTATTCGTGGCCCGTGGGTACTTACTTGAAAGTTTTAAAGTATGATGTTATTATATTATACACATTATTTCAAATACAATGTTTTTGGTAAAAATTAATTCAACTCACTGTATTACTCATAGTATAAATACTAAATAATATTTACTATTTTTAGCAATTGGAAAATTCGTTAGATGGTAGTGAAATTACGAGTGAAGATACGAGTGGTCAATTTCACGAGAGTTCTGAAATGGATGTACCTCAGAATCTGGACAACAATTTCAAAAGCCCATCTGTTAAGGTCACAAAAAAAAGAAAAGCTGACGATAAGGTAGAACAAATTGAAAATAGGATGGATGAAGCATTTACGTTTTTAAAACAGATTTCGCAAACTCCGGCCAAAAGTAAGTGTTCACTTTTTACCGACCTGTTATGCGTCAAATTACAAGGACTTAGCGAACAAAAGCAAGATATTGCGATGATGGAGATTGATAATATTATGTTTCGTCTCAAACATTCTGCTGACCAAATAGTACAGCCACCATCGCATTATCAATACCCAAGTACCAGTTTCCCGACACATTCGCCGTATTTACTCAATGATAATTATTCAACCGCATCATCATCATCTGCATCTCTTCAGCAACAACCATCGCCCGACTACATATCATCTATGCCATCTATGTATTATGATTTATCTCAAAACCAGAATTCCTCTGAATACTCAAACTCCATGTCATCTCCACATTTTCAGCAACTACAAAGCCCATCGCCAACACCATCACAACATAGCAATGTAGGAGAAAAAAGTTTGAATTAAGGTACCAAAAGCATATTGTAACACATTTTTTTTTTTAATATACGAGGTGCTATATTATGAAAATACTTTATATGTTACCTATTTATTTTATACCTAACTCACACTTTATTTTCAGTTTTAAAACAGATTTTGTCAAATTTTTTTTTTTATAATATACAAGGTGTTATATTATGAAAATACTTTATAGGTATGTTATTGTTCATACATTTTATACTGCCTATTCGTTTTAAATATAATTATGTCATAATTTGTTTTCAGTTTTAAATTTGATTTTGTTATATATATATAACCTAACCTAACCTTAGGGGTATGAAAAATAGATGTTAGCCGATTCTCATATCCACTGAATATGCATAAAAAATTTCATAAAAATCGGTCAAGCCGTTTCGGAGGAGTATCGAAACAGACTCTGTGACACTAGAATTTTATATATGTAAAAGATATATATATTTTTTTTTAATATTATTTTTTTTAAAGGTATTATATTTATACATAACTTATTTTTAATTTAATCATAAATACCATTATTTCAGATTTTAACTCATGATTTAAAGCTTTACAAACCTCTTGCACACATCTGGAAACAGTTTGAACGGAAAACTTAAATAAATATGATAAGCTCTTGAAGCTGTCTCCCGAGGCTAAAAATCTTAAGGTAACGGCCAGCCTTTCTTGAACAGGAATACACTTCCTCATATTTGTATCCATTTTTGATATTATCGGCCCAATTTTTTGAATAAGGTGTTCAAAATCTGTGGCAGACATCCTACAAAAGTTTTGAATTTATTTGACGGTCCCTGTCTCAAATCTTCTAACAAGTTTGTGGCATTGTATCTAAAATATAAATTTAATTGAATTATTCTTATTTACTATTGAAAAAAAAACTGTAAGTTAAAGCACTCGCTTATAATGTATATGTAACCATTTAATATTACAGTAAAACCTGTGTAATATGGAACCCGAATAACATGGAAACCTGACTTTTATGGAAAAATGTTACGGTCCCGGCGAACCTAATGTAGTTTTAAATACATCGTTCCCTGAATAATATGGAACCTGTTTAACGTGGAAATGGAAACAATATTTTGTCATGAACCTGTATATCATGGAAATATGTACATGTACTATTTTAAAATTATCAGTCAATGAATATAATCTATATCAATTATATAGATTATTTCGTTGCAATAAGTTTATTTTATCGATTAGTGTCGTAGTAGTGTTCTGACGTAAGGTGCGTATAGACGTATATTCAATATGACGTCCAAAAATAAATGTTTAACACTAAATGAAAAAATTAAACTAATTGAGTCAAGTGAAAAAGATAAATTAACAGTAAAACAAATTAAGAATTTTTTTATAAGAACGCCCTCCATGAAATAAAACGATTAGAAATGTTCGCATTGGATCAAAATAATGAAAATGAATTTCTTGAATCAATTCTGAACTTGAAAAATTTAGTAGAAAAGAAAATGGCAAGTCAAATAACAAAACAAAAAACATTGGATGAATTTTGGAGTAAGGATTAATAAATAATATGTAAAATATATGAAATAAAAATGAATTAATAATAAATAATAAATTATATGTAATAAAGATCTATTGTTAATTTTTTTTTTTACAACCTGTATTAAATGGAAACCTGTCTAAAATGGAAAAAATATCCGGTCCCAACCGTTTCCGTTTTACACAGGTTTTACTGTATAAATATTTAGTTACCTATTTAAAGTTAAAAAATTATGCTTTTATAAAAGTTCTAAAATTATCTTCATAAATAAATAATAAATTATATTAAATTAATAAACTAAACACTAATATAAATAAATAAAATAAAATAAAATAGGTGCTTATTTACTTATATTTAAATATATATAAAAATTTTTTGAATAAAAACAACTAAAAATTAATTATTATTTTAGTTTTACCTAGTACGGCTTTTGTATATTTCATGCATCCAGTATCTTCTTTCCTTGGATTTTCTTTTTTCTTTTTTCTTTAATTTTTCTTTTTAATACTCGCCTCTTAATACAACAAAATACGCTGCTGCGCAAGCAGCAACTTGCGTCTCGTCTACAGCACTATTCATTTTGAACTGAGAAATTTGGCGGCTTAATTTTGGTCCTAAAAAAAAGGAGGGAGCTCTGATCGGCTCGGATAAGCTCGTGGCTCGCCAAGTCACGCGCCGTGAGAATGCTGTAGAAATTGTAGGCTCGTGATATGCCGAGCACATATGTAGGCTCGGTACAAAAACCGCGCTGCGCGAAGTTCGCCGAGCCACGCGCCGTGGGAACCCGCCTTAACAATAACAACAATGACTTACATTTTAAAAATGTATTGCACTTTATAACAGTAAGTTTAGGTACTCATATGCAATAAGAACATTTATATGAAATTATTGTATGATAAGTTGAATGTAAGGCTTATGTTACACTAATAAAATTGATCACCACTATGTATCAAATAACACAAATCAGTAGTTAATATGTTACACTGTAGTACAAACAAAGTTAGTGAGTTAGTGTGTAGTAGTGACATAGGTCAATTTAGTGAAAGTTGATAAATTTAATGCA